GAAATTAACAAAGATTAATAAAAAGAATGTAACACGCAATTACATAGGCCTACCTAACTGCGTGTTAATTTTGCGCACAAATAGTTTTCGGGATAACTGATATTAGTTTTGATTAGCGATTATAAACGTACATTTGGCAGCCTTGTAAATATCTAATTTTGTCTCTCGAAAAATTATAATAAAAATCATTAATCCTCATAAAACAGGTAAATACACTATCATAACAAATAAGCAAAATAGGATTGTAATATACTTTGAATCTTATACCTCGTTTAATAGTAACCTCTTATTTCTTAATCTGAATATTGAAGAAATAAATAACACCGCTGTTATTTTCAATAACAAGTACAAATTTATTCTATGAAAATATGGCGCTTTGCCGGCGAACGGTACAAAAATATAACGTGAAAAATATCACTTTTTTTCCTGCCATATTTTCTCTGTAAACAAAACTTATCACTCGATTTTTGAAAAACTTACCTCATTGATTAATGGTCTAGGCCTATTTTTAAAGTCACAATTAAACACACAGACCATCAATGTGAGAACGATATTGACGTCCCTATAATGAAACTTCAGTTAGAGTTAGTAGCTCAAGTGTTGCAGGTCGATTGTTGTAAGCGTCTCGGAGAAGAAATCAAAGGCCTCCGTAGATAAACCAATGGGGCTGTCTACAGATTCTGACAAGCTTGGGGACACGGCATCTGAGAGGTGTAAGCAGGAATCATTGGAGAAAACGTTGAAGTCCTGTAAAGAGACGTCCAGGGCCGAGGGACTGCCATTGTCCTGAGCAGATGCACAGTCCGGGGCCATTGTTGAGGCGCAGATAGGAACAGTGGGTGACGGGTTGGGAAAATGTTTCAGATGTTTGTCATTGCTACCTAAAGGCGAGACAGTTGCGCTTTGGGAATCACTATTGTGTCCATTCTGTGACTGTTGAGAAGTTAAGGTATTCTGCTGAAATGGATAACCTTCTCTTTCCAAAAGCGCCCCTGATACATTGTTTGCCACTTGTTCGAAAAAAGATTTCCCATCACCCCGTCCGCCTGCCTCCTCCATGCTCGGTGGTTTTCCATCGCCGTGATGGTTCTCTTTACACTGCGTTTGCCGTTTGTGTTTCATTCTCCGGTTTTGAAACCAAACTTTGACTTGCCGCTCGGTGAGGTCCAGCAGAGCGGCGATTTCCACACGCCTTGGCCGGCAGAGATACTTGTTGAAGTGGAACTCCTTCTCCAACTCCAGCAGCTGCGTGTTGGTGTACGCCGTTCTTAGTCGGCGAGTTGCCCCATTGCCACCATCAGAAATTTCGGGCGAGCCTATGAAGGGATCACAGCGTTATACATTATTGATACGCCACTAATTATAACTCTTGATTTTTACAACGCCGCTGTGGGGCTTAAAGCTGAACCCACAAACTTGTCAAATATATTGCGTTTCTCAGGAAGCATAAATTGTTTGTGGGAATGGAGCCACGGCACTTGAATAATTTGTGTCCTCATCCCCTATGCCAGAATATACTGATGTGTCTGGTGTGAGTGCGGAGAGGTCCGAGTGAAGATTAATGAACACGCCAGCTGCCGAGTTGAGTAATGGCAATCTATCATTCTTCATTACTGTCAAATATTAAAATTCATGCCCTACACTACAAGTAGCTAACACAGAGTTTAGGAGTTGTTCAGGATAGATCCTCCGCATCCAAAAACTAGCAATTAACTTGTTCGCATTAAGTTCACATGACCCATGAGGATAACAAACTATCTTGCACTTTCAAGCAGCATGGCCTTGCGCAACACAGCTATCGAAATTAATAATAATAATAACAAAAAGAAGAATTTGCATTTCGTTTAAAATAAACTATAAAACAATCAAATTAATCCAAATACCTTGAGGGGAGAAGTATAGTGGACCAGGGTCGGTGGTGGTTGTTGCTGTCGAAGTTGTCTGGTTTTTTTTGGATGCTTTTTTCTCCTTCATCCAAGGGTACTCTGGGGGTAAGGATGCGGCAGGCAGCGGGCATGAGCCATTAGGGTTCTGCTTGGGCCGGCTGTGGCGAGGGTGGCTGCCGGGGTTCAGACTTGGAATGGTCTGCTCAAAAGGAGGAGGAATCAGTGTCGAGTGTGGAAGCGTCGAGCTCTTGATTGATGAACTTTGAAATGCATCACCGACAGGGGGAAAAGATGTCAGGCACTCAGCGAGCGACGGCTGACTATTGATAAAACCCGTCTCTCGCTCGAATTCGTAATTCATCTCCTCCAAGTCTTCCAAATTCGCCGCTCACAAATTTGTGACCCAAGGAAGATAAAATGAAATATCGTGCCGGGTTAAAAAAAAAACTATTTAGCTGATTACGGCCGTATGGGGACCGCGGTGCCATTAAACTATTGCTTTCATGGAGACAAGGTTGAAATTGGACCGTATTGCTTGTCACATGATTACCTCTGTCCAATGACAATTTGGGGTTTAATCAAAAGAAGCCACTGTCTGTGTGATTGATCGAAAAAAGTCCGAGAGGAACGCCTCACTCTCTGGGACGGGCTAGTTTATTTACGCATTTATGGTCAGTTTGCCCACTGCTCCGTAGATTGTAAGTATAGCCAGTACCTGAAACAGTGAGAGTGACAGTGAGTCCGTCTGCTGTTCTCCCTTTATTGTTTGACCGGCCCTCGGCTGTAGATCCCCCAACACATCAACTGGACACATAAACACACCAATAGCCACGATCGAGGAAACCCATTATTCCTGAGTCTGGGTTTTACTACTTTCTTAGAGAATGCGCGCTCTCATTTGCCAATGCACGAGCAAAAGCGCGCGAGACAGTACGCGCGCACACATTGCGCGCAGACAAATAGTTTGAAAGCCCCGACGCGCCCGCGTATATACTCGCGCGCTGACGCATTACGCTTGCATGTGCATTAGTGTTGTTTTAGTTTAAGATATATTGCAGTCCTTTTTTAATTACTGTAGCTTTGAAACTATATAAATTCAGAATTTGTTTCAGGTTACATTCTTCTACTAATAGTGCGATGAACATAATTGATATTCAGTGCAGAATTTGTGAAAATAAAACGTATAATTGTATACATTCAGTGTATTATGTAAATAATAACACACTACACATTTTACCTGAATTGATCTTCACAATTTGTTTGAGCGACTCTAAACCGGCTCACAGACAGACAACACATACACAAAAGTTATTAATATAAAATAAAAGTGTACATTCATTAGTCTTTTACGTTCAAGAATGTGTCTTCTATGTTGTCCTCAGAAGTCTTTAGCTAAGTAGGTGTAGGCCTCGAGCACTTTATTGCTTATATTCCAAACAAAGAGCCCTGGAAGCCTGCACGCTATCAATCTTACACGCCAAAAGGTCTGACAGCTTAGTGCCCTAAGAACACATTTAAACCATCTAACACTCCCTTAGATCATATGTGGCCAGGAAGAAGAGAACAGCGTAGTACTCACGGTTGAGAGTTTCCCATTCTATAAATTAAATGTTAAAAAGTGATATTTTCCGATTAAAGGATTGACCTTGATCGTAATTTCAAACCGGTTGTTCTTCGAATGGATCAGCATATTTCGGACCAAAAAAATCGTTCGTTTTATATTTTCGATTTTGGAAAGTCAGCCTTTATCGAAGGTTTGGGAATGAATAGGATTACATATTGATTGTAAGAGAAACCATGTGTTTTTGCAGCTACACAGGAGCTATTGTGTGTAGATGAACGTGGGTGTCGGCATTCTTCAAAAATACCCACTTCTTCCTACACATTTCCACTAAGAACGAAAAATCTTCGTCGTTTCCCACGAGCTAAACATCGAAATTTATCAAGGATGTATCTTTACGGATACTGTTAATTGTCATATTGATTAAATGTTAATCTGTCTGTTGAAATATTAATTCATATTTACAATGTATTGAATTTATTCTCATTAGATAGACCTGACAGAATGGATATGTGAGTATCAAAATATATTGCCGTGCTTTGAATGAAAAAAGCCTGTTTTTGTTTGTTTTTGCAAATTGGCAATCGAACTATAAATTTCATGTCTTTGCAAATCTATTAATGCATGTACATGAATACTGTATGTAAGTTTATGTGCTTGTAATGTATTATCGGAAATGTGTTTTGATATTTGTAAAATTTGAAATTAATTTAAAAAAAAAAATTTAATCTAAGGCTTTACAACACATTATTTTTTCTATTTGGTTAGGTAAAATTCTCAAGGTCGAGAGTTTGTTGTTGACTGTGAGTTACCTTAATGTAATGTATGTCGAATAAATGCATCAGTGTGCAATTGAAAAACAACACTTTTATGTGTTTATGACTGGCATTAAAATACTAATAAGAAACGGTTTATTGCATTTTTAAAGCCGAGGTTTCTCGAAGGACAAATCTATAAAACAATTAAGTGTTTTAATTAAAAACTAAGTGTGTGTGTTTTTTAAGATATAGATATTTAATAATTCTTTAATTATTTGGCAGTTTGCATCATTTTTGTCCACGTGCTGAGTATGTTCCAGCACCATGTCTTTTTGGATATGTCTGGCTCGATGGACAGACCCGCTGACCGTCTGTTAGAATAAATAATGAATGCTGACGATCATAAAAAACAAGTTAAGAATGAAAACTTGGCTCGTTGGATCATCAAGCAAATGAAGCGACCAATGTGCTGCATTCAAAACTAATGCATTAATAGATTGAGTACATATAGGCTATGTATGAAATTGATTTACGCATTTAAATACGTAACCATTAGGCGTTAAAAATAATAATATTATTAATAATAATTATTATTATAATGTGATAATTATTTGATTTGTTTTTTAAAAAATATTCTAAAATGCGTTTACATTTTATAAACAACTGGTAAAGGTAAGTTTGTTATAGACTGTAATTCTCTATTTTCTTTTTTGATATGTAATTAAATACATATGTTGGGGATTTTCTTTTCGGATTTTATTGTATTGTCTTAACATTTATACGAATTAATTAGTTTGTTTTTCAATTATAGAGTTCAGATGATTTACGTAAATTTAGAGGCCTGTTTAATAACATATTTGAATAATGAATGGAGTAAGCTAACACTGTTAAAATAAGACTTTTCCGAATATAATAGCAATATGTGAATCAGATATCAGCTGAATGGACTTGATCTCAGGATACTGTAAATACTTCTGCTTCGGTCAACCACGTTTCCAAACCCATTCGTTCATGTAAAAATAATAATAAAAAAAGGCCAGGGATTGATCTGTTCGTATCCCTCTCAGTGAGCTTTGTAAATGAGTGCGAGTGAGGCGTATATGGGGTGTTTATGATGTCTGCGAAGGCAGTAGCTCTAGCAACAGTGGCGTTTGATGGATGACCCTCTACCCACACACATTGCACTGGGTCGTAAACGAGCTCCAAGCTCCTATTGTTGTGCTAGAGGTGTATGTCATTTCCGGGCATATGCACTATACCCCTGCCCTAGAAGAGAATCGTGCAGTTTTATTCAGGATATGACGTTGTGAGAGTATAGCCTGTTCCATATGA